ACAGCCACTAACACTATGTCTTTCACCACATTTTGTTTATCTACTGATTAGTTGATGAGAATTTGGGTCATTTCCACTTTGGGGTTATTGTGAATAATGCTGTGTTCATTCATGCACAAATTCTTGTTTGAACACCTCTTTTCAATTCTTGGGAGGTATACCTTGGGGTAGAGGTACTAGATCATATGGTCGTTTTCTATTTGTAACTTTTTGAAGGAAACACCAGACCCCTAGCTCACAATTTCCTATACTTTCCAAGGTGTCTTAATCCCTGGCCAGTTTCAGAGGCAATTAGAGAGATGCACCTGAAGTCTGTCTTAGTTACCTTGTGCTGCTGTAACAAAAATTAAGACAAGCTAGGCTCGAAGAAGTCTCTTTTCCAGAAACAGTGATTGGCATGGGCAGGCCCAAAGGCAGCCAGGCTTGTTCCAAGCCAAGGTTATGGCAGGCTTTCAACAACCTTCTCTGCTGCCCTGCCTGCCGCAACATGAACTGGCTGAGCAAGAATACATACCCTCCTGCCTTGTAGACATCTTTGCCTCTCCATTATGTTGCATACGCTTTTGGAAGGGCAGGGTGTGGTGTGTGTGTGTGTGTGTGTAGAAAGAAAGAAAGATGTTAACTACCTAAGTGTAGGTTTCCCCTCCTGTCTTTGCAGAAGAGTTCAGATCAGCACCTGGTTTCCAAGCAGGCACTAAGCTTGGGGCAGGTGCTCCGCCCTGACCTGGGCGGAAGTTAATTTTTCTTGGACTGAGCTGTTGGGATGGGAAAAGATCCTCATCCAGGGCAGACCTTACATTTTGCTGGACAATGCCACCCAGGGATTCTGACCCCGATCAGCCCTCAGATACCTCAGTGAGTCCACCTTACTTTGTATATTGTAGATTGCCCACCCATGGGCTTGGCTGGACAGAGATAACCCGACTGCTGCATTGTTTACTGCAGCTACCTTTCTGAGCCATGGACTGCTTGCTCAGTCATTAACCCAACCTCTTACCATAACTGATTAGCACCGACTTTTACATTTAAGCCTGCCCATGAGCCTCTCTAAATTCGGATGCCTGGTTGGGATTCCCTAACACACAGGGAGCAGGTGCATTGCCCTTAAAGATTAAAACGACTTTTTCCACCTGAAATTGAATACAGAGAATAAAGTCATTGGCTCCGGGGGTCCTTGCTCCCTGTCGCCCCCCCAGCCCACCCCCCACCCCCACCCTCGTCCCCAGCTATTACTTGTTAGGTCGGCCCTCCCCGGGCACTTCTGAATCTGCTGTTCAAGCAGAAAAGTCCCTTGGCTGGTC